TTTAAACACTAAAACATTAAACTAAAAAAACTAAGCGAACTGCAATAAGTAAATATTATATTAAAAAATGTCCAGGCGCGAGTTTAAATCTTTACCGGCACCGACTGAATGTACATCGCAAGTAGATAGTTAAACTTGTCTTTAATATACAGGGTGAGTTTTTCTTTCATTTTAAGCATTAGGATCTCGGAAACCGTAAGACATAGAGATTCGGTTAAATGAGGAAAGAGTTATAGTTTTAAGAGCTTATTCAAAATATGCTTTTGTTTTTTTAAAAAATCCACAGTTTTAGATATGAGCGAAAACCACATTTAGTGATTTTTCATTTAACTGTTGTACATCTGAAACAAAATTTGCATTACCAACCGCGATTATTAACTAATTCGCGTTATATACCCGTTGAATATTATGTAATTGCATTTGTATTTTTCTTTCCTCAAAAGATGATGGGTTAACAATCAACAATATTTTTGTATCAGCTAGAAAATACGTAACCCCTGCTAAACGAATAGTTTTATCAAATGTATGCCCTTCAATACCTCACAATGGAAGAGCAATTAAAACAAGTAAACATTAAAATAGTGTGTCCAGTTTCTTTTATTAATGCTGGAATTAATAGGGGTTGAAGAATACAGTCATGTTTTCAGCGAACTGTTGTACAGAATCATGTTGAGGTGGATGGGGAGGTGGAATGGGACACGTATGGAAGGTTTGGGGGTAGGTATTTTGTTTTAAGATATTAAAAATTTGTTTAGTGCACGTTCACTTTCAAAAAATAAAAAGTGCACTCTTTTTTTAATAAAAAGTTTGGCTGTGTAATACGGTAAAGTGTAATGACACTGTATATACAGGGTGTTTTTTAAAGATGGGCCATAGAAAGTACACACTGAGCATACATCATAACCGTAGGTGTGTGACAACAGACAATATAAAGGCGTTGAGTTATAACTCTTGCCAGGAAAGATTGCCGGTCACAGCACACCTTGTGTTGATCTGCAATCTATGTTTTTCTTAAGATGCGAGCGACTTCCGGAATAGGATCGTGCCAATGTTGAACGAAAAGTCTTTTTGTTCAACATTGACATGATACTATCCCGGAAGTCGCTCACATCTTTAGAAAAACATAGATTGTAGACCAGGATCAAGTGTTCTGTGACCGGCAATCTTTGCTGGCGAGAGGTTTATTTAAAATGAGCCATAGGAAAATTTTCATTGCGCCAATTGTTCTCAAATCTTGGCCTTGCGCTTAGTTATTTCACTGATAGTTCTCAATCTGATCCTTCAAACTGCATCAACGAAGCAGCAACATGTATTCCGCCGCTCGAAAAGGTGTTCATGTAGTACAATTTGTAGAAGAGTGGGCACAGTAACTGAGTAGTAATGCGAGATATTCAGGGCCGAGTATCGGGTATTGTTTAGTTGCCGATGGAAAACAATTAATAATAATAATAATAATAATAAATGCCTTTATTGAGTCAGTGATAAATATAATAAATGGAAAAGTTTCAGAGGCGAAGTTCAGCTCACAGAATCCGCTGCTCTTCCACTTAACATCTGTTGAGAAACAAATCCGGCGTAATTACATGATCATAATGTTCTTAAAATTAAGCATACCGATAGGTAGTGAACTGCTACTGCTGTAAATTGTTATTCATGAGCTTATTGTCTTTCTAAATACCTGGAAATTATAGCTTTACGGAATTTCTGAGTAGTGAATGATTTTAGATTCGTTGGTAGATGATTCCACAGGGTCGCTATGTTATAGGAGAAGGATCGCTTGTACATCGTAGTGCGGTGTGCTGGCACGGAAATTCGAGCACCGATTGTAATTTTATACGTTTATATCTCATTTGAATAAATTTGTTGATTTATGCCCGTTTGCACCGACAAATTTAAGCCGAGCGTAGCTTAAAATCCATGGCAACCATTGTCTCAATAATCGTTACCATGGATTTTAAGCTACGCTTAAGCTAAGCTCCGCTTAAATTTGTCGGTGCAAACGGGCATTAGAAACAATTTCTACAGTACTGTGGTAGATGATTCGCGAGAAAGCTATAACTGAAACAATTGATGCAATATAAATTTTCCTATGGCCCATTTTAAATAACTCAACGCCTTTACATTGTCGTATGGCCCATTTTAAAAAAAAACCGTGTATGAGATGTATCATGTAAAGATGTTAATAATTAATAATAACATACATGGGACGTATGAGTGTAACCGAACATTATATGTACGTCACTTATCTATGTACTGTAGACATCTATTTAGGCCTTGGACGAATGTACCAATTTTATACTTAGAGTGTACGTTTATGGTTGAAATTTAATAAATGCATACCTACTCGCTATAGCTACAATAACTGAACCGTATTTGCGTATAAAATTACATTTTTGCAAGCGTTTTCATCATACGGTGCCAATAGCAACTGGTTTTGAGCATTTCGCTAGAGAAATTGTGTAGCGCAATTTATTAAGAAAGAAATCCCAAGTAGTTCCAAACCTAATTGGAACGACACAAAAGCAATCCAAGAAGACGAAGAGGATTATTATCTTTAAAAAGAAGTATGAAAATTATTTTGAAAATATGTTCTTGTTTCGTAATAACACCGGGGTACAGTAAATTATTACCCGATATAATTCTTTTGAGGGAAAAAGGGGATTTACTGCCGCCACCTTGTTCATCTACCCACCACCCCGTAGGCATTTATTCACACATTTGTTTGCTTCACTAGAATATTACCAACCGCAGCTTGCCCCTAACGATCCAAATTTCAACTAGTTTGCATAATTTTCTGCACAGTGACTGAACCACAAATTGCAATAAAGCTGATTTTAGAGCTTCCGATTGCGCATTAGTGTCATTATCTGTATTATAACTGTAGGATAATACCTAAATGTTACAAAAGAGTGACGCTTAAATCACACCAAAGCCGGTTTAATCACATTTACTCCAGATTTTGCATTAAAAAACCTCTAATCTAATTAGTAAAATCTTAGTAGAAGGATCAGTCCCGTTAATTGGGATGAAGAAAATTTATACCTAACATGAAATATTTAGCTTCATTTTTAGTGCGCTGTAGGTAATTAAGGTATTTCAAATTAATTTGTTATTAAGTGTTTGTGTTAATGGCGTTATAATTTTATTTCTACAAATTCTACGTACATACGACGATTTCAATAATTCGTTGCGAATTAATGCTCGACATAATGTACCCAATCCGAAATCTTGGAGATGATGGCAGTTTCCAAATTAAATTTGTAAAAGGAATTTAATAAAATGTATACATCGCATGCTTTTTTTTCTGTACTTAAATATAATTTTATTTCATACTATCTAGTAATCGCCGCTTTCCCAGACCCATTTGAGTCGGGTATTTAAATCGTATTTTACCAGACTGAAAATTTTTACCAGACTGGAAATGTTGCCTAGCAACATGAATCGACATCCATCTAAACCTATATATAATGTTGCGAAACTACTGTCAGATCAAACAAATCAATTGATCGACTTAGCTTTCATTTGAATGCGTACAACATTCTAATCAAAAATTGTATGACATTTTAATAAAAAAAAAGGACAGTATGAAATAATAGCTATTTATACAGGGTGATTCCTATAGTACCTGCCACCGTTTGGGAGCGTATAGGGGGTGCCTAGGGGAGTATTTTGATATAGGACACTTGGGGTCGGAAATCTAAAATAAGGGCGCCAGAACCAAATTTATCTTCTGGAATTTCACGCCTGTATGTAGGCACCCCAACCGACCGACGTTTCGCGCGGAGCGATGCAGAGCGAGTTAGCGCGAGGAAGCGACATGGGAGGGAAGGAGGGAAAACGACAGTCAAAAGCAATAACGTTTACAAGTGTTCAACGTCGCCACCGTTGTTCTCAATGCACTTCCTACATCTAGCCAACTATTATTATACTATTGCCATAGTGTTTATTCACTTGATACGCGTCGTTGCAGACGGGATTTCGTGGGTTTAAACAAAATTCTGATCAAGTGTCAGCCACACATCGCCGCCTGAGATCGCTCCGTGTGCACCGCCGGGCGGTTGGGTTGCCTACCTACAGGCGCGAAATTCCAGAAGGTAAATTTGGCTCTGGCACCCTTATTTTAGATTTCCGACCCCAAGTGTCCTATACGAGGTCCTATATCAAAATACTCCCCTACGCACCACCTACACGCTCCCAAACGGTGGCAGGTACTATAGGAATCACCCTGTATATCAAGTACATAAACTGGGTCTTTATGGACGAGCCGTTTATTTAGCCGAGCGATCTTGCGAGCCAGGCACAAATAAACAAGGCGAGTCCCCATAATTATAGTATATTAAGATACAAGTGTATAATCAAGTCTTTAAAGCACGCGCAACGAGTTTAAGGGCACGACGCAAAGCAGATTTCAACCCACCGTGCCGCTTTATAGTGGTAATATCAGCACCAGCGTCCGCTAATAGGGTAGTGGGCGATCGGCGCAGGCAGTGTCCCGTATCTAGTTGGGGGTTTGGTAACTTTAAGGAACTTGCAATCGCCAAGCGTATTCTTGCCAACAGGCTGTCGTACATTTTCCATTCTTGTAAAAAATGAAAAATCGTTGATGTTATATTGCTTCAGGTCTTAGTGCTGCGTACTTGCGAATTAAATGAAGAAAATCTGTACCATCTATGTTTCCTGTTATTACGAAGGTTCTTGATGTTTTGTTTTTGGTAAATGGTAACGTAATTATAAAGGAAGATCCCATATCGTTAACGTTATGCGTGGTTAGATT